AGTAACTACCCTAAACCCTCTTAATATCATGATCTTTCACTAAAAGAACACCATTGTTGTCCTTAATAAATCTAATGCTACCTAGATCCTTTTCCCTATTCTCCCTGGATTTTGCTAGCCTGAAGATGTCGTTTTGTCCTTCCTTGGTGTCTAATCTCTTATATATTTTCTCATATGCCTTATCTTTTGCTTTAGCCACCGTTTTCTTGGCTTCCCGCTTTGCCTCATTGTATCTTTGTTTAGCTCTCGATCTTTCTTCGTCGGTATTGCATTGTAGATACTCCTTGAAGCAAGTTTGCTTTGTCTTCACCTTAGTTTGGACTTCGTCGTTCCACCACCACGATTCTTTATGCTCCTTGACCTTCCCTGTCGACAACCCAATGGTGTTTTTTCCCACCTCTCTGATGGATACTTTGACTATTAAAAGTTAACAATGATCACCCAAATATTCACTATGTTTTAAACTAGTCCAGTTCCGTTGAAAAATTAACGACAGTCGGACTTGAACGTTAACATGTTAGCTGAGATATGATGAAATATGATCTCATAATCTTAAACGAATATAATATCCAAGTCAACATGTTAATGTCCAACTCAGATGATCGTTAATTTTTTTAATGGGAAATGATAAGTTTGGAACATAAAAATAATCATAAATAGATTGGTGACTATTTTTTTTAACTTTTAATAAGCCAAAGACTCGATAAAATAACTCTCTATAATGGGGGATCATTTGTGTAGTTTACCCAGAATTATATGATGAATAATAATTATTTTATGAAACTCAATTCGCTTTGTAAGTACAATTCTTAAAAGCTCGTAGAATGAAGAAAAAGTTGGGAAGATTTTCTACCGGGATACTCAAATGTTACAATCTAAAAGGGAAAATAAATATAATTTATACTTTTCTTTTATTAAATTTATTTGAGCTAAGAGTATTTGTTGATATGTTTTGTAAAAAGTTAAAAAATAAAGGTAAACTATTAAATTTTCTTTTACCCTATGGATTAGAAGGCTTCTTTTTTATTAATCCTGAATTTTTGATCGACTCACATCGTACATCTTATTTTGGTGGGCAAATTTTTTAACAAAGATATTTTGCATACATAAAGACTCGAATTCAAGATCTTACTTAAACAATATCAAACCGCTTACCACTTGAACCAACGTATATTGATTTAAACTATTACATTTTATCATAAAAAGGGAACTGAATTTATTTTAAAAATTGGATAATAAATAAATAGAACCATCAGTCTCACATGGTTTGCCCACCTCCCTAGAAAAGGATAGTTGTGTTTGTCGTTGCCCTAAAGCCAAATTATATAGAATTTCCCACAAAATTCAAATAAATAAAGGGGTTTTAGCCGTCGTTTAAGTGAACTCAGATAGCATGTGGCTAAACTTCTTCACTGGCCCATAGATTTTTGGGCCAAACATGATAAATTAATCTTCATACAGACCTCTCTATTTATCAGATCTTTTAAAAGCTCGCATCCTTCGAGTACAATTCCTTAAGTCAACAACAATGTTAGACAAAAAATGACTTTCCCTTTTTCCTATATATATGGGTAAGGGGAGGTAAGATAGTAGATTACTTCCAACACCAGGTTGAGAGCAGCTTCCGTAAGAGACCTCCGAATTATGAAATGCCCTCCGTGGGACTCGATCACACAACCTCAAGATTAAGAACCTTTTGCTCTACTAACTGAGATTGATGGTCATTTCAACAATGTTAGACAAATTTAGATAATTTTATCCTTAAGTCAACTAATTAGCTTACAAACATAGACGAAGCTATGTTTTGTCCCGAGGGCCATTTTCCTCCCTATTTTGTTTTATAATTTTAAAAATATTTGTGTAAATACCAAATATTTTGCTCTACTAACTGAGATTGATGGTCATTTCAACAATGTTAGACAAATTTAGATAATTTTATCCTTAAGTCAACTAATTAGCTTACAAACATAGACGAAGCTATGTTTTGTCCCGAGGGCCATTTTCCTCCCTATTTTGTTTTATAATTTTAAAAATATTTGTGTAAATACCAAATATTACCTCCTAATTTTAGTTAATTTTGATTGTCCCCCTCACTTTCTATGATCAGTTATACTTTGTCCCCTTTCTTTTTTATGGTTAATTATACTTTGCCTCCTTTGAGTTGATATCTTGGCTCCATCCCTACCTATAAAATAGTCATAATAACTTTACGATTGACATGCACACTAAATGTCACTATAAATAACCTAATCAAGACTAGAAGAAGGGATGGATTGCCTATAATCGACCAACCTTCATTTTTCTTCCCCATGATTATTTACTCTCTTCTTCCTCTAAACACTAGCCAACGGTCGTTTTGTCACCGGTTACGACTTTCTACCCAAATTAAAAAGAATAAACTGTCAACGACCGATGTGCCAAACTTATTCTTATCAACAACAAGCATAGTGAAAATGTTGGGGTGGAGCTTGAGGATGTTGAAGATTGTAATGCAGTGAGGAATTATCCAAGCTCATCCAGGGTTCAATATGAATAAAACCATTAGTGATTGACTGTATTGCTAGTGAGAAAAAAATTGCAAGAATGGGTGATGGTTGCCACATACTAATGAGTTGTGATACAAAGATTTTCCTTTGTGTTAGTACTAATAATGTACAAGTTGTTGAAAGTAGGGGTGTTCGATCGAGTCAAGTTCAGTCAAAAAGTTTCAAGTTATTCAAGTTGACGAGTCATATTTTATAACTCGGAGTTGACTTGAATATTTTTAGAATCGAGTCGAGTATATAAAATTTGAGTCAAGTCGAGTCAAAATTTCGAGTTTCTATTTAAATTTTAATTGTAAATATTTACAATATTATGATATTATTTTATTCTAATTTGAATAGTATTTTATAACCATATAAAATATATATATATTTTTTGTATTTTTTCATATGTAATTTATATATATCATACAAAGTCGAAGGACTCGACTCATGCTTTGACTCAAACTTAAAAAATCAATCTACTAATTATTAAAAATTTCAAGTAATTCGAGTTGTATTTTACAACTCGATTTGAACTTGAAATGTTTTCAAGTCAAGTCGGGTTTATAAAATTACAACTCAAAGTCCATTCGAGTTGAGTTTTTTCACGTCGAGTCTAGTCGAAAAAATCGATTTTTCTAGTCAAGTCGAATTATGCTCACCCTTAATTGAAAGTAAATTCCATGGAATAAATCTAATATCGTGTTATTTGAATCGAGTTTTATGATATTTAACATAATGACACTTATTTATAAGATAATCATTCAAACATGTCAGTAGTTTGGATTTCTATCTCACATTAGCATCAATCATTATCATCAACATGTTAAATTAAAATTCATAATCATGTGTATATATTTATAATAAACACTAATATCATAAATTATGACATAAAATTAAGTGATAAATTATGTTGCATGTATCATTTGTATTAAAGTGTCATGGAATTAAAGTTTATAATTTGATAAAGAACATAATTATAGATACTTAATAAATTGACCTAATATTCATTCTATATAAAGAGGTATTGTCCTCAACAAATAAGTTAACTTGTAATACTTTTATCCCGTCAGAGAGTTTTTACGGCAAGAGAAAACATATTTAAATTGAAATCATTTAAATTGAAATCAAATAATATCACAATATTAAATAATATCACAATATTATAAATATTTACAATTAAATTTAAACATAAACTTGATAAACTCGACTCAATTCTATTAATCACTCATTCCTAAATATAACCATGTAACAACGTTGGCTGGGTGCGAATATGAAGTCAATTTCTTGTACCAAAGACCACGACAGCACCTTCCGTAATAACCGTCCCTTTTCAAATGGGTTCAACAAATTCAAACATATCATCAATTAAAAGTTTAAGCATATCATCATTTAAAGTAGGATAAATTAAACTAGATACCATTGAATTTTACGTAGTTTATCATTTATATTATTAAATTTTTAATTTTTAATTATAACATTCAACTTTGATTATAATTTTTATTTATACCATCGAAAAGTTAAATTTTAACAGCACGATGGTATGGACATATCTTTCAGTGATGATTTAAAAAAAATGAAATGTTTTGGTGTGGATATTGATGCCTAAAACGATACCATTTTAGTCACATAACTTTAGGGGTGTCTTGATTTTATCACTAAACTTTTAAACAATATCGTTTTCGACATTACAACTTTTCTGATCGTTGTCTGCAACCAATCACCGAAAGTCTTTCACGACAAGATCGATACTAAAACATTCACATTTCACTCATCTTGCTTATCATGCGATTGATTTTTCACGAAACTCACTCAAAATAAAAAAAAAAACTATTTAAAAAAGTTCGACACGCTAATAGTTTAATCTTTTATGAATGAAGTTAGTTTTATGGTATGCTATTATTTCTTGAAATAATACTTCTTATCATTTGGATATTTGAACAAACCCGCTAAATCCCTCAAATCTAAGAAAATTTTCAAACCCCTAAAAATAATATATATATTTTATTTAATTTTGTCGATTTTGAGTGAGTTTCGTAAAATAAATCTTGAGAGAAGAAAAAGGAGTGAGACAGAAACATTTTGATACCGGTCTTACTGCGAAAGATGACCGATGAAAAAGGAGTAAAACAATGTTGTTTTGTCTATATCATTACATCATTTAAATTTCAACAATCCTTAGATATAATTAAAATTAAAAAAATTAAAAGGCGAATAATATAAACAATCTAGTAGCTAAAGTTGAATGAACTTGAAATAAAGATACTAACGTATATTACTAGAACTTTTTAGTTTTATATCTTTTTAAAATCATTATATATATATATATATATATGAGAAAATTAAATATTGAGATTAACATTAAAATATGATAAGATATTAATCGAATAAAAAAATAAGAATTAATCTCAATATTTAATTTATCATCATTCAACTATCTTAAAAAAAATAGAGATGTGTAAGTATATTCTAACCTCATATATATATATATATATAAAGTGCTTTTATTACCGTAGCAGAGGATTTGGTGGCGAGGTAATTAGAGTAGTCATTGCCTGCAAGGCTGACGAGTGCGACAGAAGTTTTGAGGGCCCTCTTGGAGTAAACCGAGTCATTAAGAAGCTGTTGCAAGAAATCGATCTGGGCAGTCATGTTCGGCTCAGGAACTAAAGTGTCGAAAACACCCGTTCCTCCATAAGCGAAGTTCATCCCATCCTTCACCCGACCACCCAGTTCTTTCCTCCATCTGTAGGGTATCGGTGTCTTCATCCTCAAGTACCCAGCTGCTAGCCAACGATTTGTTTGGTAATGAAAAACATATATAAATGGTTAAATAATTCATAAAGTTATTGTGTCAGCAAAGCACTGTAACAGTAAAATAAAGCAAGTCCATTTACTTGTACTAAAAAGTAAGAGCCAAAGCAAAAGCTAAAACTAAAAGAAAAAGATAAACACTGTGATTATTGATCCATGAAAAGGAGAGACTGATACCGATGTAGTCAGTGAGAATGATGCCATCGGAGAAACGGCCAGCAGGTTTCCCTGGAAATGTGATTCCGTAAGGAAGTTTCCAGGAACTCGACAAAGCTTTCCTGTTGTTCCCCGTGTCGGCGTAGGAATCCCCGAAAACAAACAGCATCTTTGGTCTGAAACCCACACTTGAACCTTGGACAACATGTTGCTGATGACCTAGAGTTCATTTTTCAGCATCGAAAAAGAAAAAAAAAATTAGAAAACTGTTCCAAACCATATGATGAAGCAGAAAGAAAGAATGGGTTGTTTGTTGTTTACCTAAGAGAAGAGAGAAGAGGAAGAAACAGAACAAGGAGGAGATTAAGTTTAGAGTAGTGTCCATGAAAACGGAATTAAGTAGAAGATGTTAAATGCTTAAGCTTTTGTAGGATAATAAAAGAGATTCTCAACACATTATACAGTGGAAGGGTAAAGGCTCAATATTTAAGGTATTTATTACTCAATATACTATTTTCTTAATTATAAAAATGACGTCCACTAAATATTATTTATTTATTTTTATATAATTAGAGCACCTATTTTTATTAAAAAAAGAGAAAATATTTAAATTTATTATGACGTTAATAAACTAAATACATAATTAAAATATTTGTATAATGAATAACACAAAATAGTTAGCCACTCATAATCATAGAACGACTATATAAGAAAAATATTAAAATATATTTAAAAAAGTCAAAGAAAAGATAAATATAAATAAATCTGACAACATTGGCAAATCGACCACAACAGGGAGTTAAACTACTAAAAGATCATCGACAACCGTAAATCAGAATCGAGCGTCGTGAGTAAACTATCTACAAACGCAAATCGTGTATTCAAGTCCAATCCGAAATGTCAAAAGTAAGGAAGATCGGTAAAATAATCAATACACACCATCTTAATCAATTGCGACGATATCAAATTAAATCCTAAAAAAATTAAATGAAAAAAAAACAACCAAAAAATAAAAACATACTAATAGACAAAGAAAAACGTGTCATGAAGATATACAAAAACATATCATAAAAGTAGAGTTATTAAAAACTAAAAAAATCCAAAAAGAAAAAATACAATATAAAAAGTAGATAGAAAATAAGAAATATATATGATCGACGATTAACACTGAAATTAATATTATTGTCTATCAAATAAAAAATAAAAATGAAATAGGGTTATGAACAAGTACCTAGAATAGTTTTTTTTAAGAACTATAAATATTTAATATTTTATGGTACTAATTGATTATAATTTAAATGTTTTTTTTATAACCATATAAGATATATGTATATATTTCTTCATATTTTTTATATGTGATATAAGTATATCATTCAACTTGGGATTCGAATCAAACTGAAAAAATCAATTCACTAATTACTAAAAGTTTTGAGTTATTCAAGTCACATTTTATAACTCAAATTTTATATGAATTTTTTTTATAGTAGTAAGTCTTTTTTAGTTTAAATATTAGTCAAGTAAGACTTTTATCCTCCTATTTTTTAAATTTAAATATTTAATAGATTTTTATTCTTTTGATATAATACAAATATACTTCCCTCAATATTTGATCTTATCTCCATCCATGCAAATATATAATCGCTTCAACAAGGCCAGATAATCAGAAAAAATCTTGAAGATGGCCAGTGGTACATGCATTATGCAGGGTTGGTATGTGTCCACTTTGAAAATCTGATATTTTTTTGTTTGTCTGTTGTTTAATTTTGTTGAAGACTCTCACCCTCAAATATATTTGTGTCCATCCTATACGAAAAATTCTATTATTAATACATACATGCCTATCTTAAAAATATATTTTTGGAGCCGCCGACATCATCAGCTCAGTATATTATTAAGGTTAAGGTATATATTATTAAGTTTAAGGTATGAATGTGGATTGATTATCAGCTCAGTCAGATTTCATATAATACCAATGCATTAAGTATAAACTGTATTAAACACTTAAGTATTACGAAGGATCTGTTACTAAAACAATTTACAAACCAGATTACAGCAATCACCGTGCATATGAAATAACTGGTTTAGTTGTTGATGATGAAAGGAGTAATCTTGAGAACGAGGCCAGGGAAAACATCATCAGGGTCATGTATGTGAGGATTTTGTTCAACGATGAAAGGATCCCCACATTTTTCACCGATGGTGTGCAACGTCTCTCCTTCCCTCACCACGTATATTTCATCGCACGCCTTGTTCCCGTGCCGCAGCAACGCTTCCCTTTCACTCGGTTCATCTTCACAGCAGCTGATGAGCAGCAGCATCGCTGCCATGAGCAAAGCACAGTGCCAAGAAACCTTCTCCGCCGTTGCAGTGCTTGAAGAAACTCGACCCATGTCTCTGTTTTGTGATTATGAATGAATATGTTACAGTTGCAGGGATGGTTGTATATAAGAGTTGAGGAGAGAATGGGGTTGGTGGTTGAGAGTGGGTGTAGTGTGTGGCGGGAGTTGAGACGGTTCTCTCATGGTGGTGGTTGGCTGCTTTACTCCATACGTAAAACAAGAGTTGGTTCAACTGCTTTTTTTTTTTTCTTTTCATAATGAAAATGGTTTCCTTTGAATTTTGATTCATGAATTGCCGATAAGCTAAATGAGGTGGTCGGTCCGTTCTGTTGAAATTCCCCCTGCCTCTGCTTGATTTAAAGATTGACACAATTACCAATCGGTTGGTTTAAATGGTAAATAGTTTGATATCGCTGAAGTAAGTGTCGAGTTCAAGTCCAGAAAATCTCTATAGGAAGATTCACCCACCAAAACTAAGTGTTCGACCCGGATTAATTAGGACGAAACCTTGAGAATCAAGAGGACAACAAAAAAATTGGCACAATTCTTAATTCATCTAGAGTAAACCATAGATTATTTACTTCAAGTGTCTTATTCTATGAACGATTAAAGAGTGAGATATAAACTCGTCAAATAATTTCTTTGTTAAAAGGAAATGTTGTCGTACTTAAAATTTTGAGTTCAAGCATTTGTATTTGTGGGTGTGAATGAGTTGTCAATGACTAATAAAATTTTAAAAAAGATATTATCTTACAATCGTCCTAAACTATTAAAAAAATTGCAATGGTTTGGTCAAAATCTATGTCAATTATTAATAAATTTAACAGTTGGACGATCAACTAAATAATTAACATCAACACAGTTTAGAGTAGATAAAAATTTATATAGCTACACAAATCAAACTATCTCAATGATTAAAGAGATGACTGTTATTTTTAAAGGTTATGAGTTCGAGCACCAGACTTGGACATCAAGAATTGGACATCATTTACACTTGTTTGTGAGGATCTTCCTAATGAATTCCCCCGTCTTTATTACAAATAAGGAAAATATCCACCAATATGAGAACAAATATTAACTTCTTAAACCCAAAAAAGGCAGGCAATAAGGGAACAAACTAAAAGGGACAATGTAGCATAAACCAAATTAAAAAGGTACTCTAATCTTCTTAATTTTCAAGTGGTATGTATTTCCAGAATTCTTCATGGTTTCATCAACTCTTGTTTGATGTAATTAAGGACTTCATCCACATTGACGGTCCATGCAACGGATATCGGAGAATAGCTGGTCCACGGATTGCTTCCGATCCATCTGCATCAGAAGATTATGGCACATTAACATTAGCAACAATAACAGCAATTCTAATTGCATTCAATAATAATAAGCACACGGTTGTCTTTGAATACTTTTTCAATCCTTGGTCTAACAATGTATGCCCCTTGCATATGCCCTGCGTCTCAACCCTCACCACACCCTTCTTGTACGTGAAGAGGTCCGGCCGAACCAGAGCCACGAAACTAACAGGATCGTGCAGGAAAATCCCTGCCACCAAAAGTTTTCTCGAGTGTCATAATGTGAAGAGTAAAAGAAAATGAAATTTATTTCACATTCACAAAAGATTACCATATACACCGTCAGACTTCACATGCCAGTTTCTGTAGAATTCGCACATCTCGCTTAGCAGCTGAGCGTGCTTCCCTTTCGATTGCTTCAGTTCAAGGAGGTCATTGTCTGATACATAAGAAGATGATCTTTTTCAAGATGCTCAAGAAGCTTGTATGCTAAGAGAAATGGCAGTTAAGTTCGTACCTGTCATTTTGACTTGGGTAGTAATGTTTAAGCCGACAACAACAATATTTGCTCCCGATGTAAACACGATATCAGCAGCTTCGGGGTCCCCATAAATCTGTAGTCAGACAAATGAATTCAGAACGGTTCCATAATGGACAGTTGACACAAACTCAACTCAATATTTGGAAGTTCTAGTGCTTACATTTGCCTCAGCAGCAGGATTCACATTTCCTAATGCAAAGAATGAACCGCCAAGTACAACTATATTTTTCACCTTGCTAGCAAAGGAAGAGTCCCTTTTGATTGCCTGGACATAGAAAAAAAAAAAGGGACCAAGTTGCGAAGCCTATTATCAATGAAAAAACGGAGTAAACTGATAAGAGAGAAGCAAGGACTTACCAATGCCAAGTTGGTCAGTGGTCCAAGTGCAAGTACAGATACCTCACAGGGATATTCAGACACCTTTCAACTAAAAATTCTGAGGCAGTCTTATCGGATTTCTCCGTTTTCGGATGAGGTAGATATATATGCCCCAGTCCATCAGAGCCATGAACAAAGTCAGCGACGGATGGCCTCCCACCCTTTTCCATGGAAACCACGGTTAGGCTAAGGTAGACAAACGGCATAACAATACACAAACAAAGAAGAATATCAAAGCACAATAATCTTCAAGTCACTTCATCTAGCAGTACCTAGGTGATTTGCCTCATGTTACATACACACAAAACCATGCAAGAAAGGAAAATGCAGAGGGAAAAAGGTTCCAAACATCATACACATGTTGGGTAGAAAATTGCAAATACTAGAAACGGGAGCAAGTTAACAGTAGCAGTGATTTCCATTTCTTGAATGCAGAAAGAAGTATTTTGTGTGTCTGATTCGGGGAATGGATGCATTACCTTAAGAGGCTCGGCCCTGCCTTCTGCTACGGGAACACCAGGATGCCCTGCAATTTCACACTATGAAGAAAAGAGGATCAAATCAGGAACATACTCCAAATGTATATGAAGAAAAGGATAGAAGATTTATGAACCGAGAAGCCATCAGTTACCAGAAGTAAGGCATTACGAGTGGCATCTTGGGTATGGAGATTGCCGAATACGGTCGTCAAACCTAAGATCTCATACTCTGGATTCTGGAATGCCATTAGGATTGCGATGCTATCATCTGTTAATCGAAAAAACAACACATTCTTATATCAAGATGGTAAAGAAATCTAAAAAAATAAAATCATTAAACTCATCTTACGGCCCTCCACATTGTTTTCCAAGTGCAATTTTCACTTCCTTGCACACTTTAATAAAAATCTAATCAAGTTTATAGATCTAATCACATCCCCCTATGATTGAATACGGTTTCAATGCATCTAACCAAAAAAGAAAAAACTGATTAATTTCTTTGTTGACAGAGTAAACAAAAAGGACATATACGACGTCAAACTTCATCAATTTTCATAAGCTTATCTCAAAATAAAACTCCAAGAACAAAGATAAATGGAGAATGAAATAAGATTACTTCCAATTTCATTATTATTCTAGTTTAAGCAACTAAACGTGCTAAATTCCAGATAAAAAGGAGCGAAACTGACCAATCCCGGGATCGGTGTCGATAATGAGCTTGTTCCTGTTGGCACGCGAGACAAGAACGCCGTCGCTTCCGTCGTTAACGACAATTCCATCGTGAGAAACTTTCTTTAATTCCCATCCATATTCAACGGCATAATTTTTCTTTCCAGAAAACTAAGGACAACACAAATTATAAAAAGCGAAGGAAAGTACAATCAAATTATATAAGATTTAATGAATATGGAGGGCCGCTCCGCTGCTCCGAACAGAGTCGCCGAAGAAGAAGAAGAAGACGAAAACCAAAGACGTATTTTCCTTGTTATGGTGATGTCTTCTTCATCCTTTAAATATTGTTTCTCCGGATTGGTGGAGGATGATGACGTCATCAGCCCTTATTGGTAAACCACGAATGGGATACTGACACGTGGTTAAATGTAACAGGACGATCCTTGATGCCAGTATCGTATTGGATCAGACCATGAATATAAAACGTGTAGGGACTATCGACTCGAGCTCGGATTCTTTGCAAATTCAAATAAGCACGGTTGGACTTTTGACCTTAGGCATGTTTTATCATTAATAATTTGTATCATAATTAAAAACTATAATTAATGTCTAATCTATTATTTAATAAATAAAGGAGTACTTTATAATGATTAAAACTTCTAAAACAAATATTAAATATAAAAAATTATAAAATTAGTATTATTACTCTTTAAATATAGGGTAAACTACACCATTTATCACTAAACTTTACTCTTTCTCATATTTCACTCATTGTACTTTAAATTTTTTTTCAACTTACTCAGTGAACTTTCGAATAACTCCTATTTTAGTCACTCTGAATTATTTTATTATTATTTTGGTATTATGTGGTATTTTTATTATTATTTAATAAAAAATAATTTAAAATAAAAAATTAAAATCAGATGGTGGTCGTCCACTGTTCGTCATCGTTGGACACCATCGTCGACGGTCATAGATGGTGGTCGTTGGGTCCTAGATTTCATCGATAACTTCATCTCGATCTTCTGATTCTTAATCTGACCTCCATTTTGGTAAAACATGCTCTAAATCTGATTAAAAGTGAGAAAATTAAAATGTCGACTGTCGTAAATGATGGTTGTTTGATCCCGGATTTCATGGGTCGTTTCGCCTAGACCCCCTAAGTCCAAATCCAACCTCCATTTTGCTAGAGCATGCCTCGAAGTCCACGAATAGAAAATCAAAAGAGAGGAAATTGAAATATTTTAGTCGAGATTCACGGGTTTAAGGACATTTTCCGGTGAAGCAACCATCAGATTTGGACTCAGCGTGTCAAAGCGAGTCTCTCAATACAATTTTGGATCAAGCGACTGTCGGTTCCGAAGGTCGTCGGTGACGAGAAGAGACGATGCTTATTCTAAATCTTTTTAAATTTAATTATAAAATATTATTTAATTATTTATTTTAATTTACTTTTATATTTAATAATAAAATAATGTGTAGTGACAGAAACAAGAACAATTTGAAAGTTTAGTGAGTAAATTGAAAAAAATTGAAAGTATAGTGAGTAAAATAAAAGAGAAAGTAACGTTTAATAATGAATGATGTTGTTTACCCTTAAAAATATAATTAATAAATTATTTAAATTAAGATTAAATAATATTTTTAGTCCTTAAATATATCTTATTATCGCTTTAATATTTGTTTTTTTTTAATT